AGTGGCTTGTTTTCCCAGTTAAGACTCCCTTGGAGAGAACTGAAACTTCATTTGCAAGTGGTTATCAATTGGAAATGGCTTCTGGGTTGGGGGGCATGTGTCCACTTCTTTCAGTTCTAGGACCCATGGCCCAAACCTGTGAGGGCCCTGTGCATGCTGCCTCGGTCTCTGTGAGTTCGTGCGTGCATCAGCCTTGTGCCTAGATGGCCTTGATTCCTTGGTGTCCTCCATCCCCTCTGGCTCTTACACTCTTTTTGCTTCCTCTTCTCAGGATTCCCTGAGTCCTAAAGACAGGGATTTGATGGGGACATCCTATTTAGGACTGAGTGTTCCAAGGCCTCTCATCATTCTCTTCATAATGTCTGGCTGTGGGTCTCTGTATTTTTTCCCATCTTCTGAAGGAGGAAGCTTCTCTGATGATGGCTGAGCAAAGGTACAGCAGAATGTCATTAGGAGGCATTTTATTGCAGCTTTTTTCTTTTTAAACCAGTAGTGTTTGGTTTCACCCCAGCTCCTGGGCTATCAAGTTTCAGGTTCTTGGTCACCCAACAGTGTCAGCTATGGGTTCCACTCCAGATGTGTGCCTTAAAGCATGTCAGATATTAGTTGGTTACTCCCACAAGCTTTATACCACCATTGCACTAACCTATCTTGTAGGCAGGACACCACTGTATATCAGAGTGTTTGTTGCTAGGTTGATGTTTATGCTTCTCCTTTGGTAGCATGCAGAGGACTTTCCTTTACCAGAGACATTAAGACATAGCAGTGAAGGCTCTCTCCAGGCCCCAACTGGAGTGCTCCAGTGTTCAATGAGTTGTGTATGTAATGTCTTCAGCAACAGGGCCTTGCTGTCAATTTGTGGAAAAAAACCCATAGCCTTGGCAACAGGCTGGGTTGTTTAGGGGTTCCCATGGGATCCCTTTAGCCTGCAAATAGATGTAACTCAGTTCTGGTACTGGAAGATCTGTTTGGCGACAAGACATATCCAGCTGGGGCTCTATTTCGGTGATTTCATTTAGATCTCCTTCATATATGTATATGTTTTTTGGAAGCTTCTACTGTATCAGGTTTCTATACTACCCCTCAAATGGCCCTTAATTTTAACTGTCTCTCATTGTATCTCTTCCTCATCCCCTCTTTCCCTTCCCCTCCACACTTGATTCTCCCAATCCAGACTCCCCATCTATGCATAACTATCTATTCTATTTCCCTTTCCTTGGGAGATCTATCTGTCCTGCTAAGTCCCTTACTCCATACCTAACCTCTGTGATTCTACAGATTGTAGCTTATTTATCATTGGCTTAATAGCTAATATCCACATATAAGAGAATACATACTATATTAGTCTTTTTGGTCCTGGGATACTACAGTCAGCAGATTTTTTCTAGTTCTATCCATTTGCCTGTGAATTTCACTATTTGAAATGACAGAGTAATATTCTATTGTGTAAATGTACCACATTTCTTTATCCATTCATCTGTGGAGGGACATCTAGGCTGTTTCCAGGTTCTGACTATTATGAATAGAGCAACAATGAACATGTATGAGCAAGTGGCCCTGTGTTATGATGAAACATTCTTAAAGATATATTCCCAAGAGTGGTTTAGCTGAATCTTGAAGTAGCTCAGTTTCCATTTCCTAAGGAAATGTTTTCCACTGTGGCTGCACATGTTTGTAGTTCCACCAGCAATGACTGAGTGCTCCCCTTACTCCCCATCCTTGCCAACATGGGCTGTCATTTGTTTCATTGATCTTAGCTGTTTTAATAGGTGCAAGATGAAATCTCAAAGTAATTTTTCTTTGCATTTCCTTGATGATTCAGAATGTTGAACTTTTCTTTAAGTGTTCCATAGCCATTTGAGTTTCCTCTTTTAAGAGTTCTCTGTTTCGATCTGTACCTCATTTTCAATTAAGTTATTTGTTTCTTGCTACCTAACTTTTTGAGTTCTTTGAGTATTTTGGATATTAGCCCTCAGCTGGATGATCAGTTGGTAAAAATCTTTTCTCATTGTGTAGCCTGCTGCTTTATCTGAAAGATGGTGTCCTTTGCTGTATAGAAGCTTTTCAGTTTCATGAAGTCCCATTTATTAATTGTTGATCTTAGTACCTATGCTAATGGTGTTCTGTTCAGAAAGTCTTTTCCAGTGCCAATGATTTCAATATTTCCAATTTTCTCTACTATCTGGTTCAGTGTATCTGTTTTTATTCTTTTTTATATTTTTTATTATTAAGAAATTTTATATTCATTTTACATACAACCACAGATCCCCTCCCTTCCCTCCTCCCACCCCCCATTTCCACCACTTCCAAGGCAAGGCCTCCAGTGGGGAGTCAGTAGAGTCTGATGGTGTATGTGGTTTTATGTTGAGGTCTTTGATCCATCAGCAGTTGAGTTTTATTCAGGGTAATGAATATGCATCTATTTGGATTCTTCTACGTCCAGACATCCAGTTTGACCAGCACCATTCATTGATGATAGCCTCTTTTGTCCAGTGTATGTTTCATGTCTGGAACACCTACCCACTACACTCAGCTGTGACTGGCAGTGAGTGTGTGCCCACCTGTCTTCTCTAGGCCTAACTTCTCCTTTGACTTGTGTTCATCAAGAGCTTGTTGTCCGCCCCCTGCCCCCGCCCCCACATGTGTGTACATGCACATATGTGTGAAAATCAGAAGTCAATCTTAGGTGTTACTCTTCAGGATGCTGTCCACTTGTTTTTCTGAGACAAGATTTGCAAAGCCCCAGGGAGCCAGGGAGCTGCCTGTGTCCATCTCCCAGTGCTTTAATGATAGGACTATGTCGTGGTCCTGGAAATCAACCTTAGATCCTCATCCTTGCTCACAAGCATCTTAACCAACTGAGCTCTCTCTCCACCCATGTCTCCTTCCTTCAGAAATCTTATTCTCAGTAATCTCCCTAGTAAGACATGCTCCTTCACATTATTGTCCCTGTAACAATTTGATTTTAGATTCTAAAATTGACAGGGAGTGTCATTCCATCCCTTATTCACATTGGCACCAAAAGAGGAGTATTGAGCACATACAAGAAGAAAATGAGTAGGAAGAAGCATGGACTTTTAGAGTTGGGAACTACTTTACAGAGAGTTGGCTTTGTGCTGTCTTGGCTAAGGAGAAGTAGTGGAGTGCTGGTTCCTGCTCATCCCTCAGCAGCAGCCTGTGAAGCGTGTGACAAAGCTTGCTGACCTGCCAGGGCACATATCTTTGGTTGGTTGATTGTAAGAGACTGGATTACAGTGTTAACATAACTGTCTATGGCTTGATAACTCTCAAGCCATACATAACTTTCTCAAAAATCCCACACAGAATGGAACTTGATACTCTCACACCAAAGTGTATGTTGATATTCATTGCCAGGATACCTTATATATATTTCTTGATGATTTTAAAACAATTACACATGTTAATTGTTAAGGAGAAAGCTATATTCTCATGCCATTATCTCATTTTTTTTAAAGACGAGGAGAGAAATTTAGGTGAGAAGTAGTTAAAGGTCATAAAAATCATCATAAACCAGGTTAAAAAGCAAACTTACTGCTTGGATTCAGCCACATGGACTTGGATCTAAGGGACTAGATGAACAGACTATGGGGATTTTTAGGAATGAAGAAATGATGGTACTGGCATATTTCTTGTGTAGGGTTAAAAAATAGAAAGTATTGATGTCAGCCATCACTTAGTGCTTGAGCACTGAGGTCAGGGACAGATTTGGCTGAGTCAGCTCAGCCTGTTTTCTCTTTGCTCTCACTAGGTAAGCATGGACCTCTGTTCCCTGTGTCCTGGGCTGTCCCTTAACTGCTGGACTAGTGTGCTTTTGGATGGATTACTTTTTACTGTTTGCTTTTACTTGTTAACCTCAGACTACAAATAAATCCTCCTAATTTAAGGTTCTAATAATAGCAACAAAGGCTATTTCCTCATATGGAATTGAAACATGTTACTGGTTACTCTGCAGATATTTAAAATTGGTTAGAAATTTGTCTTCCAATACTACATGGCAGTGGTATGTCCCTCCTAACACTATGTATTGCGAATGCTACTTTAAATCATTTAATTTTAACTGGAGACTAGTTTACCACTCTATGTGGAGATATTTCTGGTTGTCACATCTTATGGGAGAGGCAACATGTGTACTACAAGGCTTCTAATAGTGATTCTACAATATATAGGACAGTCTCCTTACAAGCTGCAGTTATTTGACTCAAAATGTCCATAGTACTTAGTTTGAGTTATCTTTATACATGCATACATAAACCAGATACATACAGATAAGACTCATTAGTGACAGTGTAAATCTGTGTGAATCTTCATGAAATTATGAGAGTGTAGTACTATATTCATCCTATTTATCATAACCCTTAATATGTCAAAGGTGTGACTTGACGTTTTACTCCCACAGAACTGTAAAGACACTGGGCTGGGATATGGGTTAGCGAATAAAGTGCTTCCCCACAATCATGAGGACCTGAGTTCAAACCCTAGGGCCTACATAAAAAGTGGGGTGTGACTACACATGCTATTAAGCCTATTCCTGGGGAGGCGGAGTTACATGTATTCATGTGGCTAGCCAGTCTAGCCTATTTGGTGAGTTTCAGACCAATGAGAGTCTCTGTCTTGGAAAAACACAAGTGGCACTTGAGGGGTTGACACTTGAGGTTGGGTGCTGGCTTCTGCATGCACATATCTGTACCTATATAATCGGTACACTCACACACACATGTACTTGCACATATATGAACATGCACATGTATGTCCACATATGTGAAAATAGGTAGGCATGCATGTGTCACACACACACACACACACACACACACACACACACACACACACACACACACCTCGGAACAGGTCTGCTCTCCTTGTCAAATGAAAGGATTTTTTCCCCCGTCTCAGTATTTTAATGTTCACCTCTCTGAAAGCAGCAAGGTTTTTGGTAGATAGATTCATTCTAATTTAACATGATTATTTTGAACAGGAAATTTGGCTGAGCACATCGATCCCCAAACATCAACTGTGACTGTAAAGCAACAGAATATCAGATCAGGAAATCTATTGCGCTTGGTGAAAAAAAGGAAATCCCTCCTTTGTCTCCCAGCTCCAGAAGGCAATGTGTCTCACTGGCTGTGCAAGCTCTTCTCACTCAAGCCCAAGTCTCTATGTTCAGACAGCACATCCATCACTGTGTCCTTCCAGGTGGTAGAAGTCTGACGAAACACCATTCCAGTAGCTGCGTCTCCAGGTTTCGAGTCTAGAAATGAATTTAAGGTGTGATCTGATCACAGTCAACAACTTGATTGTACTGACTTCCACACGTCAGGAATATGTTCATCACAAAAGAGCAGGATGAGGTCTCTGACCAACACTAACACTGTGATCAGTCAGGAATTACAGGGATGCACATTCTAGGTGACAGAAGAATACAGACATGATGGAAACGAACACCAATCTTATTGCACATGGTGTCTGGGCGAGCAATAAAAACACTGTGATACAGGATGAAAACTCTTTACGTCTTGCTTCCTCTCAGCCCTTTTTTCTAAAGTCTGATGTAGCAGCGGTATCAGTTGACATACATGGAAGAGCTGGGAGTAGCTGGCATCTGATCCAGGATTTTACAAACATAGCATGCGACCTCGACAGTACGTTCCTCATACATCAAAATAAAGGGATGTTTCAGAAGCTCTTTATACTTTGGCCTTTTGGATTCGTCCTTTGTAAGGCACAAGTTGACAAAGTTGATGAAACTGGGGGAGAACTCCCTTTCTTCGGAATTACTTAGTTGTGGAGGGTCTCCTTTTACCACTTGTGTTAGCTGATCAAATACACTATTCCACTTTGGATAAGGAAATCGGCCTGTGGCCAACCCGTACAATGTGATTCCCAAACTCCAGATATCAGAGCGGACATCATATCCTTGTCGTGATGCACTTGCGTCTATTCTTTCAGGTGCCATATATGGCCTACACCCAGCATCTCTTGTCTTGGCAATGGAGTCCACAAGCTGTCCACTGATGCCGAAATCACAGAGCTTAATATTTCCATTTCTGTCCAGAAGAATATTGGAAGGTTTGATATCTCTGTGAATAATTTTCAAGTTTTCTTTTTTTTTAATTTTATTTATTTTTATTTTTTTATTATGTATGCAGTGTTCTGCCTGCAGGCATGTCTGCACTGCAGGCCAGAAGAGGGCGATAGATCTCATTATAGATGGCTGTGAGCCACCATGTGGTTGCTGGGAATTGAACTCAGGAACTCTGGAAGAACAGCCAGTGTTCTTAACCTCTGAGCCATCTCTCCAGCCCTCAAGTTTTCTTTTAAGTGGTTTAGTGCTTTCACAGTTGCTAAAGTGATTTTGCCTAAAATCTCTTCCGGAATAACGTCATCTAACACACTATATACATATTTGTAAAACTTTTCGAACGAGGTAGACATGAGCTCCATACAGATCCAACAGTCGCCCTCTCTGAAGAGTGCACCATAGAACTGAACAATGTATGGGCAATCACTACTCCGCATTACTACATTCAAATCCATGAGAAGTTGTTTTTGTTCTTTTTTGTCCACAGTTGACCGTATTCTTTTAACTGCCATTATCTGCCCACTTGGTTTGTGGACCATTTTGTTGACAGAACCATAAGCTCCTCGTCCAATTTCTCCAAGGTCTTTCGAGTCCTCTGCAGTGAAATCCCAGTGTTGTTCAGGGGAGATCTTCAGTTTTCCTGATGACTCAATGCTGGGTGTTCTCATTCTATGTGTGGGTTCTGGACTCCTGTAGTGTTAGGATGGGGAGTAAACCGTGCTGTCGATTTGACAGGTGGATTGACAAAATTCAACTTCAGTGCTTTGCTTTTACCCTGCATGCAGCTGACGGCCAGGTGGCCGGGGGCGGGAGGCCTGATGGGGCCCGGGGTGCCACCACCGTCCCCAGAGCCAGCCGCCGCTGCCGCTTGGGGTCGGAGCCGCCATTGTTGGAAGTGAGGAGCCAAATGAAAGGATTTTTGAGCATTCCTAATCCTTTGGACCACGTTTGATCAGGATTCTCAGCGTTTATGTCCTTGTAAAGATTGATTCCATTACTAGCCACAGTTAAAGCTTCCTCACTGTCTCTAGGCCCTGGTATTGAAGCAAGACAGTGATAACAGGCCAGTATATTCATGTGGTCTGTGCGGCTGTAGGACTTCAATGCTAATGCCATGTTTAGTTACTGTTCTTAGCAACTATTAATGGAGAAACGAGAGGGAAACATTGGTTTCTTTCAAAGCTAACATCTAGTGCTGCAGTCCCACCGTGCTGTGAATTTGCCTTTAAAAGTAATCTCGCAACTGCTATAATGGCAAATTAGTTTCTTTCTATTAGTCAAGTGATTATACAGCAATCAGAACTGAATGCACACACTATTAGGTTGTTAATTATATTTGTGAACATCACAGCCCACTTCATCTTCCTTCAGGACTGCTTGAGAGCTCTGCAATGTCTTTCTTCCTTAAAGGCGTGTTTTCCTGATGTTTAAATATGAATACCTTAATGGAGATTCTTCAAGTCAAGCTCAGAGGTGAACAGATGCTGAGAAGCAGTTAAGTTCCTCATTTTGTAGGTCTTAGTTAGAATCCTGGTGAACAGTGAGTCACGCTCACTGTTGATTGCAGTGTTCTGGTGAAGGCTTCTGATTTGGTTGTCCATGGCTTCCATCTACTTTTCAGAGGCTAGGCCTTTTGATCCCTGACATTTCCTGCTATAACAAAAACCAAATAGTAGTAATTCGGCAGTGATTCAGTGACCACATTTAGAGAAAATTCATTCAAGTCTACAGAGAATTGGTTTTGCCTTTTCTAGGGGACAATGTGAGGAAGGTGAATGTTTACTTTATTAGAGTTGCTTTCCATGGTACCTCATTTCTGCAGCTTTTACATTGTAGTTCATTTACAACGCACCTTGTTATTGTCTGAAGCTAATTATTTTTAGGCAATGAATATTTATTGGAAGCCTGCCATATTCTTCAATGTATAGAGATTCTGTACAGCAAAAGCTTGAGAAAGTTTGGCAAATGGTCTCTGAGTGTCAGCAGGAGACTCTGTGACATGGAGTGAATGCCCATGCTCCAGAATCAGGCAGATGTATGTGCTGAACCTGGGTTTTGTCAGCATGTGACCTTGGAGTGTTTCTGAGCCATGGTGTTCTGGACATGGGTTTCAACATAATTAAAGTCAGTCTTCACACGGTCAATTATCTGTCCTTCCAACATGACAAGTGATTTAACCGCTATAGCTTCCAGTTTCCCTACCGAAATGCAGGCTAAATATTACTATGCTTTTAAGATTTTTAGCATGTGTGAACCTTAGTACTGGCCACTGAATAGTAAAGACCACCACAGCCACCACTGCCACCATCTCCCTCACTCTCACCATCATATCATTATATCATTATCATCTTATCATCACATCAGCATAACGTTATTTCACCATCATCATCATTATATCATCACTATGTCATTAAATCATCACTATTACATATCATCATCACCACAGTAGTCATTACATCATCACTATTATATGCCATCTTCACCATAGCCATCATTATATCATCACTATCATGTATCACCATCATGGTTGACATCACCATCATTATCATCATGAGAAAGGAAACACTCCTCACTAAAGATATTTATTCAGAGGCTAGTTGACTTCTTTTATATTAGTATCTAGAATATTCACTGAACTCCATCAGATTTTTCTGTATTCTCTTGTGATATTATGTATAACATTTTGCTGGTTAGAATTTCCAAAATGTAGCAACCAGGCAGCTAATATTTGTAGAATAGAGCACCTTCACACAGAGTAGGCCAACTTGTTTCTTCTGGAAATACATGAGACTGATACACGAGAATCCCAATTAACTTGCTGTAACTAAGGCCAAAGTACTCTGCTTTAAAATGGATTTTTTTGCCCTCAAAATCATAGTTGCCCCCTTTAAGCCCTCTCTAAATTCCACATATTTTCCTTGGATTAATTCAGTCACATGTTCCAGAAATGCTGCATGAATTCTTCACACAACTGCTTGCTTTTCTTGCTTGTGTGTGACAGGGATGCTCTTTGCTTCCTCCCCTGGACACCTATGGAGCTGGAGGTTAGCAATGTCTGTGTCTCTTTGGGTCTCCATAATCTCTGCTGGTTCTGATCTGGAGCTTTCATGCGTTGTTTCTCACTTCAAAATGCACTTTGAAACAGCTTAGCATGTTTACTCTTACCTGCCTCCTCTACAACAGGGCCATTTGGAAGTCTAATCTTATCTTCTCAGGGTGTGAGGCTCACCTTCTCTTCTATTCCTATGGCCAAGTCACTGTGGATATGAAGAGTCCTTTCTTCCCAGCTAGGTGACAGGAGAAAATTGTCAAAAGCTTCAGGTCCAGTCTGCTATTCTTCATGAATTTTGGTTTTCAGAAATGTAAGGTAATTGAAATAAATGAAAACAAATCAAAATCCTCTTTTGACTTTGTGACTTTGTGTGTTTCCTGTGCCTCAGGTCAGGATGCTTCTTCATAGCAGCTGAGCACCTATTGTTTTAGATAGGTATGTCCAGACTGGTCCTTTGAAATAAAGGATGTCTCGGTTACATACAACTTAAAGTGCCTTATCCTCCCAGCAGAAGGGGGTAAAATTCCCAAAAGTCCCCAATAGAATGTTGTAAGGGCAGTACATCAAGAATTTTATTCTTGAGAATTAAGAAGTTTCCCCAATGACCTAAGCAGTCTTTTTTTTTTTAAGTTTTTTTTTTTCATTTTGCATACCAACTACAGTTCCCCCTCTCTCCCTTCCCCCTCTCCCCTGCACTTCCCCCCACCCCAACCCCTATCCACTCCTCAGAAACCGTAAGGCCTCCCATGGGGAGTTAACAAAGTCTGACCTATCAAGTTGAGGCAGGACCAAGCCCCTCCCCGCTGCATCAAGGCTGAGCAAAATATCCCTACGTAGGGAATGGGCTCCAAGAAGCCAGTTCATGCACTAGGGATAAATCGTGGTACCACTGCTAGAGGTCCCACCAACTGTCCAAGCCACACAACTGTCACCCACATTGGGAGGACCTAGCTCAGTCCCATGTAGGTTCCCCAGCTGTCAGTCTGGAGTCAGTGATCTCTAACTAGCTCGGGTCAGCTGTCTCTGTGGGCTTCCCCACCATGATCTTGACTCCCCTTTAAAGAGTCTTCTTTTATTATTAGCTATTATTAGTTTAATTAAACTTCCCTATCTTGTTAGCCTACTTCAATTCCATATTTAAATAATAGCAACATCTATTAGAACACATCTAAAATTTTAGCCTTTTAGCTTCCTAAAATCCAGGTATAAAGGCAATCTTGGGGGCTGAAGAGATGGTTCATTGGGTAAGAGCACCCACAGTGCAAGCCAAAGGACCTGGAGTTAGGTCACTAGTATGACACAGAAAAGACAAGTATGGCTTCCTGTGTTTATTATATCAGTACTGTGGGGGCGTGAGAGGTGACAAAATCAGAAAGATCATGGCGGTGGGGGTGGGGGTTGCTCACTGTCAACCTACTAAGGGTGGGTGGGCAGAAGGAGAGCTGCAGGTTCAGTGAGAGACACTGTCTACAGAGAGTAATAGAGGGCATCTGATGTCCTCTAGCATATGCAAGGTACACACCCCTTCACAATGCCCCATGCACATACACACACAAACACAAGTGACTCTCACGCCAGTCAAAATGGAAAAGAACAATCAATGTGAGTGATACTGTAGGATATCACTTACTAATAGAAATCCTGTCTTCCTACCGAGTGGTAGAAAGAATGTATAAGCAGAGGTGGGTTTGGTGGTACACACCTCAAGTGCAAGCACCCAGGAGACTAGTAGTAGAATTGTAAGCTTCAGACCAACCTAGACTGCAATGCAAGTCTCTGTTTCCAAAGAAGAAAATTATAGGTGTGGTTAGGTGTGGTGAGTTTCACATCTGTTATCCTAGCATTAAGGAGGACGAAGCAGGAGGATGATGAGTTCCAAGCCTACTGGGTCCACGTAGTGTGAGACGAGCTTAGGCTATGTATCAGAACTCTGTCTTAAAAGGATCAAACTAAAGACTGAAATGAAATTTAAGTAAAAATGTTTTTTTTTTCTGTATTTCTCCCTTCTCTGTTTTTCTCCTTCTCTCCTGCCTTTCCTTCTTTTTGGAAATTTCATCCCTTCTCTACTGGCTCATTATTTTTGCATGTGCGTATATGCTGGTCTTTATTATACACAATCTCAATCCCATTTTGTTATTACAAACGATAATGGTGACCATACAAAGGAATAGATCAGCAAACGAGAAAGTCTCTCCAGAGAGCTTTGCCTGTTTCTTGTTTATTTTAAACATAGAACAAACCACAACATGTAGGCTTTGCTAAGTTCTTGCTGCAGATGAATGAACATTGACTGAGGTCACATCATTTGAGGAAGCTTGCCTACACAGCACAGAATGTGACTTTGGGTCTGTGATGCGTGAGTTGTCTCTCCTCAAATATTACTCCAATTGAGAACTGATTGCTTATTTCTTAGTTTGGGACTGAATTGCTTATAGTTCAGTTTGCCTACCACAGCCATCATCTCATTGGAGGAGGGTTGCTGGGTATCACCAGGTCAGCCTGATCCTGTGCTCTGTGGAAGCAGCAATTATGTTTCCTCCATGTGCTTCTCATTCATGGTGTTTATCCCAGGGGCTTGAACTTAGTAAATATACAATACATATCAGTTGATTGATTTGTATTGAGAATTGAGTGCTTTTTAAGACACTGGCTACATGAGAGACAATGAGATTATTTGTGGCAGGGTGTGTAGAGAGGGAAGATTGATAGAAGTAGGGGGCAGGGTCTATTCCAGAGAGTCAACACAAGATGAGAAGAAAAGTTTTTACCTAAAATGAAATTTTGCTTGTAGTTATTAGTGCAGAATGTTTTTACTAAAAACTTTTATAAGATAAAGGAGGAAAATCAAAACTCTGTAACCACATAGAAAGTTGTGGTACTTATCTTGGGTATTTTATTTAACATCATCCATTTTCTTGCAAAAGATTTGAAGCTGAATAATACTCCATTGTGTGTATGTCACATTTCCTTCTCTGCTCATCCTTTGATAGGTGTGTAGGCTGACTTCATTGCATGGTCATTGTAGACACTGCGGTGGTAAGTACAGGTATTTAGATATTTCTTCTTTTTTTCAACCTTTAAAGTAATTAATTAATTAATTAATTAATTTCCAGCCCAATCCCAGTTTCCCTCCCTCCCTTCCCTCCCAGTGTCTTCCCCAACCTCCCCGCCTCTCCCTCAATCCACCCTCCTCCTTTATCTTTAGAGAAATGCAGCCCTCCCATGCATATCAGCCAGCTATGGCATATCAAGTTGCAACAAAGCGGGCACCTTCTCTCCGATTAAGGCTGGAAGAGATAACCCAGTAGGAGGAAAAGGGTCCCCATAGCAGGTAACAGAGTCAGAGATAGTCCTCCCTCCCACTGTTAGGAGTCCCACAAGAAGACCAAGCTATACAACTGTCACATATATGTAGAGGGCCCAGAGTCCTATATCTGTAGAGTCTCTTATATGTAGTCCCATATATGTCACATATATGTAGAGTTCCATGCAGGCTCCTTGGTTCTTAGTTCAATCTATGTGAGTCCCTATGAGCCCAGGTTTGTAGCTTGAGATTTCCTGCCTGGCCCACAGTCAGGACAAATCTCTCTCACCCGCCAGTCCCAAGCCGCTCAAACCTGATCAAGTAAACACAGACACTTATATTGGTTACAAACTGTATGGCCGTGGCAGGCTTCTTGCTAACTGTTCTTACAGCTTAAATTAATCCATTTCTATTAATCTATACCTTGCCACGTGGCTTGTGGCTTACCGGTACTTTACATCTTCCTTGTCCTCATGGCGGCTGGCAGTGTCTCTCCCACCCAGCTTCCTGTTCTCTCAATTTTCCTCTCTGTTAGTCCCGCCTATACTTCCTGCCTGGCCACTGCCAATCAGTGATTTATTTATTGACCAATCAGCAACACATTTGACATACAGACCATCCCACAGCACCTCCCCTTTTCTTTTCTTAAAAAGGAAGGTTTTAACTTTTACACATCTCCAAAGTCAGCTTGGTATAGTTGGGAATTTGGGCGTAGCTTCTCTTACTACTTCCTGCTGGAGGGGGGCGCTGTATCTTTTGGGGAAACAAAGAAAATTTTAGGATCATGGAGTAGTCCGTGAGGCTGTATCATCTGAGCCAGTTGCCTTGAAACGGTTCTGGATGTTGGATCATCTGGGCCATGGTGTCATCGGAGACATTTCAGGGGGTCTTGGTTGGTCAAACCTGATGTGTCTTAATCTGGAACAAATCCATAGCCTCTTGCTTTCTGTGGAAATAAAAGAGACTCTTTTCCAAAGCAACATATCCTTACATCCAAATTTTGAAGTCAAAGTATGTTTAAAATATACATACTGGTTTAACTCAGCTTCCTTTACAATCAAATATCTCTCTGTAGTTAAGAATCCCAAAGACAACACAATCCAGACTCTCTGTGTAATAGTCATCTCTACGTGGCTAATTTTTTATATTAATTTTACTGTCTCTTTAAAGACTTTATTTTTTAAAACTATGTATTTGTTTCTATACTGTATATATCACCTTTTTTTGTCTCTTTTAAGCCTACGTATATTTTACACACATTTTAAACTATTACATCTGAATCTGTCTTATTGTGAATCTGTTGCTTTAAGCTGAAGCAGCTGTGGCTGCTGGCTCCGCCCACCTCAGCTTCCCAACATGGCGTTTTCCACCAGCTCCGGGAGCTATCGTGGGTCTATGCTTTTATCCAAGCAGCGTGTAGCCCAGAAACCTCTTTTTTTTGTTTTGTACTAGCAAAGGCTAAATCCACAATGTAGCTTAATGTGCCACTTGCAGAGGCCTCATTCCCGCCATACTGCAGGTCGAGCGCGCACGCCAGCAACCCGCCAGTAGCTCAAACCGGCAGCTGCCGCTCATTTGAGAGAGACAATTAGGAAGCTGTTTTTAGCTCCGTTTTAGAATCCTTTTTCTCAGTTTTTAGGTGGAAACTCTTGCCCCACGTTGGGCGCCATTTGTAGCTTGAGATTTCCTGCCTGGCCCACAGTCAGGACAAATCTCTCTCACCCGCCAGTCCCAAGCCGCTCAAACCTGATCAAGTAAACACAGACACTTATATTGGTTACAAACTGTATGGCCGTGGCAGGCTTCTTGCTAACTATTCTTACAGCTTAAATTAATCCATTTCTATTAATCTATACCTTGCCACGTGGCTTGTGGCTTACCGGTACTTTACATCTTCCTTGTCCTCATGGCGGCTGGCAGTGTCTCTCCCACCCAGCTTCCTGTTCTCTCAATTTTCCTCTCTGTTAGTCCCGCCTATACTTCCTGCCTGGCCACTGCCAATCAGTGATTTATTTATTGACCAATCAGCAACACATTTGACATACAGACCATCCCACAGCACAGGTTAGTTGATTCCATGGGTTTTCTTGTGGTGTCCTTGACCCCTCTGGCTCCTACCATCCTTTCCCTTCTCTTTCACAGGATTCCCTGAGGTCTGCCTAATGTTTGGCTGTGAATCTCTGCATCTGTTTCCATCAGTTGCTAGGTGAAGCCTCTTTCATGGCAATTGGGCTAGGCACCAATCCATGAGTATAGCAGAACAGCCTTAGGAATAATTTCATTGACTTTTTTTATTGCCAGTTATGTTTGGTTCTTATGCTGGGCTGGCCTTCTCTTTTTGAATGTAAAACCAGGAATGTTTAGCTGGGTCATATGACAGTTCTCTTTTTAGTTAGAATACAATTTGATCGAAGAACATACAAATCAATAGTGAACTGATCCAGTAAAATCTATGAGCCTTTTCCATGGTCAGTGATTACCTTGTATTTGAGAGAGACAAAGGAAGAAAATATGGGCATTGTGTATAAATACTGTAGAGCAAGGAGAAGGCAGTAAGTTACCAACATTAGGAAACATCAGACTTTGGAAAATGATCTATGATAGGTAAAGAAGAACAGTTCAAATGCTCATTCTCAGTTATGTAGTACTTGACATGAGTGATCAGGAGAACAGAGCAACAATCATTAGTAAAATGAGATGAGAGTGGAGAGTGGTTGTGTAAGTCACCAAGCACCCGATGGCAGCTGCCAGGCACGCTTGGCAGCCTGGGTTCCTGCAGGGGTGTCCTTTGCTCCCTCACATTTCCTTAACAGGAGAAATAAATCTGTGCAGAATCTGTTGCTACACAATGGAGATGAGTGATTCACTCGTTTCAATGAAATAGAATGCAAATAAAAAAGCTCAAGTTTTACCAGTTTTGGTAGATTTCAGAAAGATAATGTAAGTCAATAAATCAGTATGGAGATGTGAGATGTGAATTTATATGTGTGCCATAAGTTGCTCCTGACTTTCACTGTCTTAAAATTTTCTTTAGTTTTTTTTTTTTTACATTTATTGATTAGTTTTAATGTATTACTCAATGTGTGTGTCCATCCCAGGTGCGTATGCATATGCCACAGCATGTGTGGAAGCCAGAGGACTCATTTGTGAGAGTCCTTTCTCTTCAAGCTCAGGTCTCAGGCTTGGTGACAAGTACATTTACCTGTTAAGTCGTCTTTCTGGCCCTAAACTTATTTCTTGCTCATGTTTTACTTCCCTACATGCCACAGAGAAGATCTTCTCCACAGATTTGCATTCTGGGGTGCTGGCATTGGGAGACCTCAGTGACTGGGGCATTTCCAGTCGTTATGGAAACGAGCAAATGACCTTTAGATGGATAGGAGAGCCTGCTAAATGTTCTGATTCAGAAGCGATTTGTGTTAGTTTTATTAATGCCTCATTTGCCAGATTGGGTTTAATACCCCCACCAACCAGAAGGAAGCCAGGCAGATAATTATTCTTGTGAGTGAAAGGCAGGTGACTAGACGTGGACAGTGACTTCAGTCAAGATAATCACACTTCAACTATTCGGGCACAAGTATTTGCTTGCTTATTTCTTCCAACCGATGTATTTTCTCTCTCCTCCCAGGATAGAAAATGCAAAAGTTCCAGCCAGTCTTAACAGCAAATCAAAGCTCAAATTCTTTGGGTAATTTGTGGTGATTTGTAAATTGTGGAGCAGAGCCACAGGATTTCTCTGTTAGGTTTAGATGTGGGTCTTCTTCAGTCATACATCTTTGAACTAAAAGGAGTAATGTGCCTCCCCCCACTTGATGCACAGCAGTGGGGAGAGACAACAAGCAACCACTCTGGTTTCAAAATGGAAAGCAAAGAAGACTCATGGAGCTTAAGGATTTACAGCAATTCTGAAATTCCAAGGCTGGCTGCTCCAGGGATGTGTTGGCTTAGCCCTGGTTCTTCCAGGAGGATCTCTGTAGTTCGTTGCTCTTTATGGTCCTTACTCTGCCCTTTCTGAGGTTCTTCCTTCCATATAATCCTCTTTCCCTCCAAGTGCAGTGGAGACTAGAGAATATGCTTCATCTTGGATTGAGCTGCTTCTTGAATGGCGTCCCATGCCCAGAGAAAGATGCCCAAGAGTCAATTGTCAGTCTTGGAGACTCACCACTTTCTAGCTCCATCTTCTTCCCTGCTCCGTCACCTCCCCCTCCTCCATCACCTCCCCCTCCTCCATATCCTCCCCCCTCCCTGCCTTTTCCTCTTCTTTCTCTTCCACTTCTGGCCTTATAGAATTCTGATTTGTTTGCATCATAAGTTTTTTTTTTTTTAAACTTCACAGATTTTTTTTTTACTTGTTTATTAGAGTCTCCTACATTTGGCAACAGACACAATATGAATATAGGTGTGAATATATATTCACACATGCATGCACACACAATCTTGACTTTGAGGGAAAAGACATGCTTTAGGTTTTTTTCTTGGTTTCTTGTGGAATACTTTTGACCAAATCAAAGGATTTACTGGATTTCCTTTTAAGTTATTCAGAAAACTGTAACAAAGACTTCAAGGACGTATACTCTATTTACCACTTGCATGAAACCAGGTTTTCTTAGCGTTTGTCTCTCAGAATGAATCTTGGTTTTGTCCTTCCCAGTTTGGAGTTGGGAAACATTTGCCTCCTCCAGTCCAAGCCTGAATATGCGCTTTCTTGTGCCTGCTATTCTGGCACGAGATGGACCTGTTTATTCCCATCTTACCCTTACTTTTTAATACATTGCAAAGTGCAACAAACATCCACTGTGGCTGATGTTCCACTCAGATGTTGGCCATTCCCAGAAATACACATTTGTTAGATGTGGGACCTGCCTTTAAACTATGTCGTCAGTGTTGTGGTGATGTTTAATAGCTAGCACTCGAGGAAAAAGCAAAATCCCAAATGTCATGATTTACAGGGCTTCCAAATTTCATCGGTATAATTTCTCCTGCTATGGCAGATCCAAGTTACCATGCTGACATAACAAAATTCAGAGTTGGACAGAGATTCTGTTAGTTCTCTTGGATGTATGCCAGGTCCAGCACACCACCAACTATAGATGATAGTCTTACCAAGTGCTTGCCCATTGCTTAATGTGGAGTGCCAGCTTTCCCTCTATCTTAAAACATGCTACCTATCTCCAAGCCAAAGCTATATATTTTATAATTTTTGTGGCAATCCTCCACTTTTTCTTACCAATTTCTATTTTAGAATGGGCTATGTTATGTGACAGCAATAAACAAAGACTCACTTTTAATGAAGAAGAAAGTTTTACTTTCCACTCACACAACCAAACTCATCATGAAACCTGCAGGCTCCATATCATAGGATCCAGTATGTCAGTGATGCCACCGCCAGGAATGATGCAACCCTCCCTCCCCGCCCAAAGGGAAGAGCAGTTCTGGAAGGCATAGTACTGACAACCAAATAGGTTGTCCTCAAAAGTGATTATGCCACCCGAAAAATCATCAGCCAGAACCAATGAGAAGCCTGTGAAGAGGAAAGGACATCTGAACCCACCTAGAAGGCAGGGGACAGAGAAGACATTTTGCCAACACTGACAGCCTTTACAACTACCTGCTAGAGATGCCCTGGGCAGCACAACTTGCCAAAGGACCCGAGTCCTATCTTCTATTTCCTCCCTTTCTTCTTGTCTCCGTTCAGTGTAGAAGGCTTTAATCAGTAAAACTCAAAAAAATACAACGACAGTAAATACGCTCTATCAAGCTCTTCCCATCATGATCAATAAAGATTTTGCATTATTCTTGCAATAACTGTCTGAAATAGTATGTACAATATGATAGCTATGCTTTAAATACATACACACTTAAGCAAAGATTCATAAAACACTTGACGGAAATAAAGTTACTGTTAAAGCAGAAATGTCTGAGTGTCTTTTTCAATCATTTATAAAATGTGTTCTTTGACAATTGCCTTCTGATTACTGTTGCCTCCACTCTCTTCTCTCCCTTCCATGTCTGTCAAGCCTCATCCTTGAAGTTTTCTCAGTGTCTTTTTCCAGTTTTAAAATTAAGTATGATTTTTAAAGTAATACTCGTCCTTTCTGGCTATCTATATTGATGATGCCTTGTTTGTGTTGTTACCGTAGTTCAAAAGGGAGACACTAAGAACTTTCTCTTCCATTTTCTCCATCGCTTGTCTTTACTGTGACTTCATTCACATTAAAAAACATTCAATGTTTATTGTTTATATTGTCATTTCCAGTAGCAGAGGTGTGTGCATGTGTATCCCTCCATTTACGCTCCTTAAAAAAAAACCTAGATCATGCTGGGTGGGTGGGCAGGCTGCTAAACTCAGCTAAACGTCATCAACTCTGATTTTTCTTTGTCCTACACTCAATCTAGAAAAACAGCAGTCAGTCATTTCTTTTCTGATCTGAAAGCCACCAGCCACAGCTGGAGAGTACAGAATAATGGAACACACCTCTTTTTAAAGTAATCTTGTCTGGTTATTATATATGAGTTTATTCTCCCTCCCCCACACTGAATGGATATGAGCATTAATTTTAGGAGGTGACGTTATTGGCCTTGAGTTCCCTGAGAACCAAGGGCCTGGGAGAGGATGGGGAAACCAAAACTGTTTGCCCTGCAATTCATTTACATGTCAGAAAACTTGGCAAGGAAACATTGAATCATAAACACAGCGTTACAGCTTTCTTCTTGGTTAAGGATGTGTTGTGGTGGGAACCTTTTCCTCTTTTTTAAATCATGTGTGTGTGCCTGTGCATGTGCCTGTGTGTGCATGTGCATGTGCATGTGCGCGTGTGCATGTGCGTGTGCGTGTGCGTGTGTGTGTGTGTGTGTGTGTGTGTGTGTGTGTACATCTGTGGCAGAGGACAATCAGTTCTCTTCTCCCATCATGTGTGTCCTGGGGATCAGACTCACGTCACAAAGCTCGAGGACCAGCAACTCTACCCATGGAGCCATCTAGCTGGCCCTTAGCTATTTTCTTGTGACTGCCTATTTCCAGTGTCCCCACATTCATAAATTAGGGGATGACCTTTGAAGAAACCGATCCTGTCTTCTTCTTTCTGTGTCATGCTACAGGAAGGTTTCCCTGACAAAAGTCATTCCCTACCAGCACATGGCTCAGCACCAGCACATGGCTCAGCACCAGCACATGGCTTGGCCCCGTGGAGGTTCTACCCTATGCACTTAACGCTGTCTAAAAACAAAGTTTTCATTTACACTGAAGAGTGTAAGTAACACAATTGTTCATATTTGATTCATTCACATCTGTATTCCTCAGATATGGAATAGTATTTGGCACACCATAGAGGTTTATCTAGCATTTAAAAATGAATAAATTAATTTATCTGTTGAGTTCCTATTGTTCTCTAAAATGACCTCACTAGGTTATACAACCTTGCGGTCATGCAACCACTTCTGTGAATGTGGCCACTAGTGGTGGCCTTCTGTTCTCACCTCATCACAGCAAACACTGGGCTGAACTTTTTAGAGCCTGAATTTGTGGCAGGCACTCGTGAAATGAAAGAAGCAATGGAAAGGAGGAATATGTAAAATCCTTATCGGGACTTCTCACATTTGCATCCAGAGCCATCTTAGTCCAAGGAAGCAGACCAGACTCACATCGAGAACTGTTAGGCAGCCGGGCTGTTGAAAGTGAAATGAATGAACATGTCATAGTTTTGTTTGCAGAGAACATTTCGTATGACCTGTTATTGACAATATAAGGTGGAAATGGCATCAAACACACTAAATCCTCTTCAGTGACAGTCTCATAAAATTTGACTTCAATTAAATATCTTGGGGCACATTTGGGTGATGAGCATTTGGCAAGCCACATTAAATTTTGCCATGGTGTACAGCACAGGCTAGCTGTCATTCTAGTCACTGCAACCCCATAGGGTAAAATATGAACATGAAATATTAGACATTCTTATTGAAGCTTCCTGAGTTTGCTGTGCTTGAAATCTGACTGCCAACAAATGTTCCTTTCTTTAGGATTAACGATTGATTTTTAACTAAGATACTAGGGATGCAAAGAAAATTTAAACTACTTCATGTGTCTAATCAACTTTGTTCATTTGATTTCTGCTCACAGTGGAGAGTTGTCTATTTACATACTATGGTTTCTGAATCTGAAATTCTGTACTCTCCAGCTGTGGCTGGTGGCTTTCAGACCAGCTCATATGTAGCATCATTCTGTGAAGGTCGATCACAAGGCCAAGGAGGAGTTTGTTCAGCATGTTCTTTCATCGTCAATATGCAAATGTGCATCCCCACCATGCAAATGTGCATCCCTACCATGCAAATGTGCATCCCCACCATGCAAATGTGCATCCCCACCATTCAAATGTGCATCCCCACTCTGCAAATGTGCATTCCCACTAGGAGAAGTTATTGTACGAGTCCCACAAACATATCAGGCCATGGAATTCTTTCTTTTTCCTGACAGAGCTCTTGATTAATGGTCTATAAAATACATTCATGGAAATGTTCTTAGACAATATACTATGATCACCATGACTTGATACATTTTTAGGATAAATATCACTTGGCTCTTCAGTTTTCTCCAATTTTTTAAAAGAAAAAGTTCAAACCTCTCAAATATGGACACAACGGACTAATAAATAACCACACACAACATAAAGATCTGAAGTTGAATCATTCACTTTTGCAAAGCAGTGGCCTCTTTCCTTTCAGTTACATGCAGTTACAAAACACAAAACTCCTTGAAGTAAGAGTTCAGACTCGTGCATCAAACTGAAATTCACATGCCATCTCTTCTAAAAAAATTACAGCCAACTGTAAAACTCAGGGAAATAACAGCAATTATATAATACCATCCAATTAGTATTTAAAGTTCATTTAGATATTCCCTAAGGTCACTTATGGCTGCTCAGAAAATCTAGAATCCAATTAAGATGCATGAAGTTTACTTTGTTGGGTGTACACATACACACACATTTTTTTTGTTTTCTATTTTGCTCTCTTTAAATGTAGACCATTTCCTTCATGTTACTTTTCTGCCCTTGGCTTTTGAAAAGCTCTGGCCACCTGTCTTGCACACGGTCTGTGCCACCTAACTGCTTTTTATGCTCTGTTGATTAACTTTATTCTCTACTCTTTACCTCTTCTAGAAGTCAGATGGAGAATTGTGATGAGACACCAGATAAACATTTTGACAAGACAGACTGACAGAAGACGACCCATATCTCACCGCCCATCCTTTTCAGAGACACAGGGCATCAGATGGTGCTTTTATTTGTCATGCCTTTGATCTTCCGGTTAAGAAGGTAGCTTTCAGAAGTCTCATATGCAAAGGTATAATCTTTCCTTTATCAATTTTAAAGGACTCATTGTATAATTCATCAGAATTTTTGAAACTTTTTCCTTAGCCATGTTTTTTTTTTTTTAACCACTGATTTCAGTATTTATTGATAAGTCTTGCTTACATCAAATCTTATATTGGTCAAAGTATTGAGTTTTCAAATTTTATTACCTTATGGACATTTATTAGCAGGCATTTTCCTGTGGTGACATTACAGCTGTTGTGACTGACATCTGACCTAAGATGAAATAATAGAGTGGTGTTGAGCACCAGATAAATACTTGACACATTTGGCAGATTTATGACAATCCAAAAAATAATTAAAGCTTTTCAGAAAGACAGAGCTTGCCATAAGGAGAGGAAGGAACACACACACACACACACACACACACACACACGATGAGAGAGGAGAGAGAGAGAGAGAGAGAGAGAGAGAGAGAGAGAGAGAGAGAGAGAGAGATTTTCTATAAAATTATCTTTCAGAGAAGGTCTCTAGGAAGGAGTTGGTAAACCAAGATATCTTTCTATTAGTACATGATTTCCATGTCTCCTGTTGGCACTTAACTCCTGTTTTTCCTGTTGTAGCACAAATCCCGTGTTTCCGACTGGATAATGTCTGTGTGTCTGTGTTTCCAGTGGGTGCACAACTCCCTCCCTCCTGTATTTCCTTGATATATATATATATATATGTGTGTGTGTGTGTGTGTGTGTGTGTGTGTGTGTGTGTGTCTGTGTCTGTGTCTCCTGTGGATCCATAACTCTCTCCTATATTTCCTTGATATCTATCTATCTATCTATCTATCTATCTATCTATCTATCTATCCTAGGCCTATTTTTCACATGTGCGGGCATATTAGCTACTTTCTTCATCATTATGAAAAATATCAGTCAGAAGCAGCTTCAAGGAGGAATGGTTAGCTGTGGTTTACAATTTAAAGAGGAAGGAAGAGGAAGACATGTCAGATGAGCTGCATCAGTGGCTGCATGAGTCTGTGGTCCGTTGGATAAGGAAACAGAGATTGCTTGGGTTGGAAGCAGAGCTACCATATAGTCCTCAAGGCCCAAACCTATAGCTTTCTGTTTGATCTGTGTCCCAAAGGTTCTATAATCTCCCAAATCATGCTACCGAATTAAATGTACAAACACACAAGGCCTGTGGAGAACATTTTCTTTCTAAAGCATGACATGGTTCCTGAGACATGTAGGACTCAAGAACTCTGAGGCAGTCACAGAGAGGATACCCAGCTCTGTATACGAGGTTCAGGCACATGTCTGCCACATGCTCTCAGATTCCTGAGGAACATTTAATAAAGGGCTGGGCATGGAGTAACACAGCAAGGACACTGCAGTGCCCTGAGCCACGGTTCCTCCTGTAAGCCCCAGCAGCAGCAGCTGAGGAGAATAGCTGTGTGGTGAGGGACACCTGAAGGGTCAACAGGCAGAGACAACATTCTTCACCTCTGTGGGGACAGAGCTGGTAATGACTCCTCCACCTCAAGATGTTTCTGATCTAAAGGGCATGCTCTGCAAAATAGACTTTTTTTTTCTCACAGAAACCTTGCCAGGAATGTAGGAAGTACTTGATACATTTTGTTCCTTGAAGGAATGAGCCAGCAAATGGGTTAATGAATGAATGAAGGAGGGAGACCCAGAGGAGTCATTCTGAGTTTTTGGTCTCAGAAACACAAAAGCCAATTTCACTGTCTTTGCTTTACTAATGCCAGTCAATGCTGAGAGATCTCATTATTATTATTATTTTATTTTTTTAGAAAAAGTGATCAGTGAGAACATTGTACCAGAGGACTCTCAGTGGGACTTCTGTGTTGAACACATTATTTAGCAAATACTAACACAGGAATTTGAGGGTATTTACCAAATGTGCTGAAGTCAACACATTAATGTAGTGAAAACCAATAGAGAAGCAGTTCTCTATTAACCTTGTCATTGTGGGGTCTCAAAAAGCTTTGCCCACCACTGGGCTTTGTAACTTGTAAAATAATTCAACATACAACAACAGTTAACCTCAAAGGCCTTTTGATTACTTCCTCGGGGTTCGTGCTTTTAAAAGCAGTGCGGTGTAGAAGGCGAACCTCTGTCTTGAATCCAGAGTCTGCCAAACCCCAGCTTGCTGCTCAGCTGTCATATCACCCAGCACGATGGTGTGAACTCTTTAGACATCTTGCTTTTCTCACTTGTTAACCTGGCTAATCGCTCCTCCTTTTCAGTAGTATGTCAAAATCAAGTGGAAATTTTAGTTCAAGCATTTTATATGTGGTGTATAATATGTCTGTGAAAATTCACTGCTTTCCTTGGGGAAATATGAATTGATTCATCCATGGGAATTAATATATTCCTAGGAGCTGATGAAATGTGTCAGTTAGTTGTGCAAGCTTAAGAATCTTGGTTCTGGTGCTTACAGCCTGTGTAAAAAAGCCAGACACAGTACTGTGTGTTATAACCTGTGGCAGTGCAGGTAGACCGGACAGTCTAGATAGGCTGCATGAGCACTGGATTTAGTGAGAGACCTTGTTTCAACAAATAAAATGGGAGTGATTGAGGAGGACAATAGACATTGACCTCTGGCCCCCACATACACTCGTGCACACATATACACTATACATACACAGAAGTTAAAACAAACAACCAATATGGTGTTAATTTCATCTTATCTCATTAATTTCCCTTGATTTATGTGAACTTTTGGAAATCAGTTGATGTATCCTACAATTGATCATTGTACAATCAGTTTCAATAACTTTTGCTGTTTGGTTTCTGTTGCTGTAATAAAACACTGATCAAAAACAGCTTGGGGAGGAAAGGGTTAGTTTCGGCTTAAAAGTTGCAGTCCATGGTTGAGGGAAGCAAGGGTGCAAGCTCTAGGCTGGAACTGAAGCAGAGACCGCAGAGGAACGTTGCTCACTAGCTTGCTCTCCATGCCTTGCTCAGACTGCCTTCTAAGCTATCCTTGGCCTTGCAATCAGGACCCACATTGGTATGGGCCTTCCTGCAATTAGTTGTTAAGAAAATATATTATAGACACGGCCACAGGCAGATCTGATGGAGGCTGTTCTTCAAATGAGGGTCCTTCTTCTGAGACGACTCTCTTTTGTCAAGTTGACAAAAGCTAAGCAGCTCATCTCCCGATGGGAGAATAAAGCTGTGTGTTTTGCAAGCTTGCACCCTTTGTGCTGTTGATTTTTCAAATATAAACTTTACACCTGGGATGCTACAGCCACAAAGCTCAATTGAAAAATAGAAATGAAGATACATATTAGAGCTGATGGATACCTAAAGCAGAAGCTTCATATTTTCCTATAGAAAATTTAAATATACCGATGTCATCCTTACAGTACATTTTCAGCTGGAAGCAGAAACATGACCAATTTTTAGTTATTTTGTGGCACTGGACAGTGAACCTAGGGTCTCAGCCATGCAAGACCAACATTCTGCTTAAGCTGTATTTCAGTTTCTTAAAGATTTATTTATTTTATGTTATGAGTGTTTTGCCTGCATGTATGTTTGTCTACCTTGTTACATGCCCAATGCCTGCAGAGGCTGGAAGAAGGGTTGGATCCCCTAGAACTGGAGTTATAGATGGTTGTAAATGCTGGAACCTGAACTCTGGTCCTCTGCAAGATCAGTAAGTGCTTGCAACCATGGAGCCATCTCTTCAGTCTCCCATTTTAATTTTTGATACAGGGTCACATAAGTTTTCCAGATTGCCCTTGAGTCTACTCCTAGCCCAGTCAAGCCTTGAACTCTCTATTCTGCTACTTTAGCTTTGCAAGGAGTTGGGTCACTGGCCTGTGCCGACATGCCCTGATAAATTCTTTTTATTATTAGTGTCTTGGATGTCAGACAATACTGTTGCATAACATAGAGAAAAGAGCAGTAGCTGCGTATTGTTTTTCTCATGAAGGGTGAGATTCTGCATTGACTTAAGATGTAGTAGCCATTCATTATGAGGTAATGTTATTTTCTTTTCAGGCTGTAGTCTATTGTATTTTTGGGAGAAGAAATGGAACATTAAAGAACAGTTATGTATTTGAAGCCAATCTGGGCTACAGAGCGAGTTCCAGGATAGGCGCCAAAGTTACACAAAGAAACCCTGTCTCGAAAAACTAAAACCAAACCAAACCAAAACAACCCCCCAAACCCCAAAACAAGCAAACAAACAAACAACCCCCCCTCAAAAAAAAGAACAGATATATATTAAAGGGTAGTACACCAGGCTGGAGTGATGGCTCAGTGGTTAAAAGCCCTGGTTATTTGTCCAAAGGACCTGAGTTCAGCTCCGATCACCCACAGGGCAGCACACAACCACCTGTTAACGCCAATCCCCGGGAAATCTTGTGCCCTCTTCTTGTTTCTAGGAGTACTGCACAAATGTGGTACATAGACATAAGGGCAGGCTTTTAAAACATCCTTATACACAATAATATTTTTTCAAGTTACAATACTAAAAAATAATGTGCTTTAGTCTTGATAATTTTAGGGAGACTTTGAAAGTTCTTTACACATAAGCTCCTCTCATTTCACACATATAACTTATTTCCATTATTTTTTTCTTATTACCATTGTTCATCAAGATTCTTCTATCTCAATTTTAGTCATAGTGAAAGCGGCTCTTCTCCTGAGGCTCAGCTCTCCTCTCCTTGGGATTCAGGTACATCTAGGAGGCTTGAGGGGGAGAGGTTTCTCCTAGGAACAGAGAACAGACATCGTTTGCAGAATCCTTGTCAAAGACAGGAAAAGTCTAATTCAATATGCTTCCCCCAAAGTTAAAAACCAGAGTTCCTCTGTTAGAGACCCTGCAGGGTCCATGTGGAAGGAAGCAGACAGACTGTGGATGAGACCAGGACAGAAACGACACAGATAGCACCAGGGATCACGTAGCTTGAGAAGAGGAGCGCTGTCGGCTGTCTCAAGAGAAAGCAGCAGTTCTGGAGGCTGAGATGCAGGCTGGGGAGAGAAGCTTCCACGCTGTTCTGTGCCCGCTCTCTACTGAATTGTGTACATAGACCTGAACATTACTGTGCATGTACCTTTGCTTATGGCACCCCCATTTTTACCACCCCTTGTAGATCTAACGATGGGCAGGGTGTGGGGTGGAGTTATGGCCATGGTTATCAGCACTGAATGGTGCTGGAGCAGGCAGAATTCACATGGACCGTACACGATCCCTCAGATGGAAGGAGGTGGAGACAGATGTGCCAAAGAGGAGGAGGACAAGCTTGTCCTCGTCTCTCTTTCGCACTTTTAAGTCTTTATAATTAGTGCAGCATGAACCATTCACATTTTGTGTTATTGTTTGATGTAAATGTTCATGGTTTTGAGAGCTAGTTCACATTTTTGGATAGAATATTTAGTACACTTTGCTTACTATATTTAAAAAAGGTAAAAATATCAAGCAAATTATTTAGCTTTCATGAAATAAAGTGACTGATTAAGGCACAAAAATGTGTGGTAGAAAGTACAGCATCTTCTAGTATCACACCAAGGTGTGAAAACTAGGGAATTGCAAATATTGGCTTATCTCATGTATTCTGGTTTCCTCCAACTAATCAATCAGTTAATCAGCTTCCTGTCATCCAGTTTACAGTCTCAGAGGAAGATCATTTCCCCAGAACAGTGAGAGTGTGTTGCATAGCTATATTTTGTATATAGATTGCTGCCTACTCTCCCGAGAAATGCTTGCTAGAAAAATCTTTTCAGAAAGCAGTTCATTTCCTCCCCTAAGCTGTTTGAAGAACATTGTTCCTGGATTTCACATCACCCAAAATATATTTCCCTTGCCACACAGGAAGTATTTTGTTTTTCAGTGTTTTTGTGTAGCTGTTATGAGCTTGAGGTAAGATACATGTGAAATGTTTGGGTGTTTGGCAGATATAATGTACCTATAATGACTGAAACCAGAGAAGAAACTCATTTTTCGGACCTCCTCAGTGTCTTGTATGAAACATTTTGACTTATACCATCAATTTAGAATTACACAGCTTCACAATGAATTTCACTAAAAGTTACCAAGTTCACAAGTCCAGAAAAACTCTTTGTAATTTTTTTCTTACTAGATATAAAGTTTAAATTATATTCTTTGCTGGGAATTTTTCTCCAACTGATCAGAATTAGAGGACTAGCATAAAAATATGACAAATGCTGTCACTTATATTGAAGATGAGGATCAATGTGCAGCTGACCAATGGCCCTCAGTTATATGTTACTATGATCACATTTATAAAAAATTGTAAGCTTCATACATTGGACGACCAATTGCTCACACTTGACCCCTCCCTCTTCCTTCTCTGTACTTTTGGCGTCCTCGTACTGTGTCAGGAGCGTGGCAATTCCAGTGAGGGATAATTTGAAATCTAAGAGAAAGTGGTGGTGTTTTGACAGTTTGGGTTTGGTAGAATATTTGTGTGATGTTCGGTCAATTCTGGGCATGTGTAAGTTCGTGCACGGGTTAGAGTGTGCACGGGTTCTTACTAATAGTCCCTCTATCAGCTCACTCTGGATAAGGTCAGAAAAACAAACACACAGCTACAGAACACAGTCTTATTAAGCCTCTTGTGGTGCTTAATACATGGGGTGTGTGGTGGGAAAAAGAGACAATTTGAAAGTAGAAGTCAGAGTTGGACCGGGAGATAATATTCTCAGATATGAGGCTGTATTAAGTTTTAGGTAGAGGATTCTGGTCTCATTGACATCTGGTCAAATGACCCTCTCTTAGCATTACTGTGCTTTGCAGTACAACATACGATCATGTGTACACTATACTTTAACGATTTATGCGGTAATTCATAAAATAATATTGAAATATGTAAAATAAGAAAGCATATTTTAGCAGTGTGTGAATCTGTAAGAGCTCAGGAGTGAAAGGATGATAGCTACTTTTAAAAATTGACATAAAAAACTTGCTTTTATTTTTTGAGATTATAATATAATTACATCATTTCCTCCCTTCCTTTCTTCCCTTCAAATCCTCCCAGACATCCCTGCTTATTCCCTTTCAAATTCATGGACTCTTTTATCATTAATTATTGTTATATACATCCATGTGTATTTATATACATGGATATTTCTAAAAACATAAGACACCCTGCTCAGTCTGCCTGTTTTTACCTGTATGTATGTTCTCAGGACTGACAGTTTGGTACTGGATAACCGATTGGTGTGCTCTTCTCTGGGGCAAACCATTTCTTCTGCTTTCGGACTCCCTTAGCTGCCTTTAGTTTCTGTGTAGGGTTGAGGCCTTACTGTCTTTCCCCCTCCATTTTGGCATGTCTGTGATGGTCTTTGTTCAGCTCGTGTTTAGGCAGCCATGTTGGTGAGGATTTGTGTGTGTTGCTTCTGAATTACCAGAAAACACAGTCTTACAGCAAACTCCTTGGTCCTCTGGTGCTAAACAATCTCCCCACCCCCTCGTCGTCAGTGTTCCAAGCCTTATGTGTGGGAGTGTTTTGTAGATGTACCCATTGGGACTGGGCTCCACCACTCTACGTTTTGATTGGCTGTGACACTCTGGAATGGTCTCTGACTGTTGCAAAGAGACATTTCCTTGATGAGGGGAAAGAACTGCATTTATCTGTAAGTGTAAGGACACATATTTAAGCATAGTTAGGGATTATTCTGGTTGTTGAGTGGTGGTTAAAAGTTTTCCTCCAATACCTTATAAGGTCACATGACCTTGCCAACACACACCAATGTCAAAAGATGCTTTCCTAACACCAAAGTTTAACCTCTCAGGTTAGAGAAAATATCAAATTACCTTTTCATTCTCTGGAAAGCAAAAACAATGAAATCCTTATTCAATGAAAAGTTAATCAAAGTCTATGTAGAAAATTGTAGAAAAAGAATGTTCTAGAAGTACATAATAAAAATCTTTACTGATTTTTCAGACTGTATTTTGTAGTGTTTGTAGTATTTATGAGATTTATAATATATTTATTATTTAACCAGTCACTAGTGGTACACTCCTTTAATCCCCGCACTTGGGAGGCAGATGCAGGTGGATCTCTGAGTTCAAGGCCAGCCTGGTCTACAGAGTGAGTTCCAGGACAGCTGAGCTACCCAGAAAAGCCTTGTCTTGGAAAAAACAACAACAAAACCAAAACCAAAACCCTCCCCAAACAAAAAACAAGCAAAATATTTATGTTTTATTAGTTTGGCTTCTCATTTTAAATAGATACTAGCTTTAACTTAATATATAATTATATATTATACATATAACTTACTATATATCATATATTTTCATATATATAAAATTAAGTTTAAACTAGTATTTATTTAAAATGAAAAACCAAACCAACAAAACTTAAGTATACTAAAAATCTGATAAAAAACCAAAGTATGCATCCATATAGTCACCACTAAAATCAATAGTTTTTATTTGTTTTTTTAATCTTTGCAATTTTTTTTTACATAATACAACAAAATATACCCAATACCCTCTTTCCCCTTCTAGCTCTTCCTGGATCCCCATGAGACATCCCCCTGTACTGGGAAGTTTTCTCTGGTTTTGCCCAGCCTGTGGTCAAGACAAATCTTCTCTCACCCACAGTCCCACATCCACTTATAAAATAATCACTCAGAGGCTTAATATTATTTACAAACTGTTTGGCCTATGCCAGGCTTCTTGTTAGCTAGCTCTTATAACTTAACTTAACCCATAACTATTAATCTACATATCACCGAATGTTTCCATGGCTTTACCTGTATCCCATTACATGTTGCTCCTTGGGTGGCTGGCTCACATCTCTCCAGACTCTGCCTTTTTCTTCCCTGTCTCTCTCCTTAGATTTCCCACCTGTCTCTAAGCTGCCTTGTCATAGGCCAAAACAGCTTTGTTAGCCAATGGGAGCGACACATATTCAAAGCATACAGAAAGACATCCTACAGCATCCCCTCTCACTTTTATGCTTTCTCCTTTCATTTTTTTTTTGACATCTCATTAAATCTTTATGCTGTTCATAAGGGCAACAATTGAGCTAATTCCTCCACTTTCTTTCTATTAATTGAGTCTTTCACTGTGTTCTTACTCATGCCTTGTTTCTTGTGTTCAGTTTCACGGTCTTGAGAATCATCAGTAATGTTATGAGAATCAGTGGTTAGTTACTTTTTACTGCTAAATAGTATTCTAGTCAGACATTCAGATTATGCACACTCTTGCCATTATAAATAAAACATCACTCAACTACAGCTTTTAATCTGTGAATATGTCTCTGTTTCTCCAAGTTAAATACCTAGATAGGGAATTTAGGAAGCCTATAGACAGTGTAATTATAACAAAACTAACTTCTATTTGTTTTGTGCTAACTCTATGACTCCACCTATTGCTAGATAATCAAATGGCTATATATTCATTCAATAAATGCTTGTGGTATGTATGGAACTAGATGCTGGGGATTCCTAAGTAAGTACAGCATTAAACTTAGAAAAAACACATGACAAACTCCAAAAGTGGAACTTGCTAGAGCTGGAGGTCAGCAAATGGTCAAGCTGAGTCTCAGGGAATATGGAGCCATGGAGTGAGACATATGGTGAGGACACAGCAGTCAGAGGAGTGTTCAGGAAGGCATGGGTGCATGGCCAAATGAGACTGCAGATGCTGTGTCCAGTAGCTGGGTATAGGAAAAGTAGGAATTCCAGATGAAGGAAAAAAGGCAAGCTGGGTGGATCGAGTAGGATGCTGAATGACAATG